ATGAGGAAGGTTCTTGTTCAACAAAAGTATCTAAAGCTATAACTGGTGAATATCCTGATACTATAACTGATGAACAGAAAATTGAATCTAATGAACTTGCTTATACTTCCATTGTTCTTCACTTGTTTGATCCAGTATTAAGAAAGGTTGGAAAATTGGATAATGTGAAAGCCTTATGGGATAAACTTGAGGAACTTTATTTGGTAAAATCATTACCTAATAAACTATTTTTGTTGGATAAATTTTTCATTTTAAAAATTGATATGTCCTGAGACTTAGATGATAATCTTGAAATTTTTAATAAGTTGGTACAATATATAACTAATGCTGGGGACGAAGTAACTGAAGAATATAACGCTGTAATTTTGTTAAATTCCATACTTGATGTGTATAGAGATGTTAAGATAGCTATTAAGTATGGCAGAGAGTCTTTAACGCCTGAGACAGTGATTAATGCCTTAAGAAGCAAAGATTTGGAAGTTAAGTCTGAGAGACATGGCAAGGAAAGTGAGAACATGTTTGTGAGAGGTAGATCACTGACCAGACATAGTAATAATTAGGGTAACCAAAATAATCAGTGGAATAATACCTCTAAAAAGAAGGGGAAGGGTAGACAAAGGTCAAAATCTAGAAATGGAGCTAGAAAATGTTATGGTTGTGGTAAAACAGGTCATTACATTAAAGACTGTTGAACATAGTTGAGCCTCTAGGTGAGAATACTGTTGATGTATATGTTGTCATTGAGGCCACATCTGATTTGAATTCTGCAAATTATGCAGATAATTCAAGTCAGAATGTTGAATGGATCTTAGATTCTGGTTGCACCTTTCATATGACCTCTAGAAAGCATTGGTTGCTTGACTTCAAGGACTTAGATGGATGGGAGGTGGTTATGGGTAACAATGCTACCTGTAAAGTGTTGGGGATAGGTAGTGTGACTTTAAAATTTGATAATGGGCACACCTTTACTTTGGAAAGGGTGAGGTATGTACCATATTTAAACAGAAATCTGATTTCAGTTGGAAACTTAGATGACATAGGTCTCCAAGGAAAATTTGGAGATGGCTTCTTGAAAATAGTTAAAGGTTCCTTAGTTATTTTCAAGGGTATTAAAAGAAATGAGATTTATGTCACTAAGGCAAATGTGCGAAGTCACACTGCTGAATCCTCTATGGCTGAAAGTGATGCTACATTGAAATGGCATAATAGGTTAGCCTATGTAAATGAGAAAGGTTTGCACATCTTAAGTAAGAAGGGTGCTTTTGGTAGTGATGTAATTTCTAAAATTCTCTTTTGTGAATATTGTACCTTAGGCAAACAACATAGACTTCACTTTAGTACAGTTATGCATAAAACCACATATATCCTTGAGTATATACATTCTGATTTGTGGGGTCTATTATCCACCACTTCTCAAGGTGGAAATAGGTACGTTTTATCTTTAATTGATGATTTTTCAAGAAAAGTATGAGTATTTCTTTTGAAACAGAAATCAGAAACTTTTGAAAAAATTTAAAACTTGGAAAACTTTGATTGAAAATCAAATGGATAAAAAGATTAAAATTCTAAGAACAGATAATGAATTAGATTTTTGTAATGTTGATTTTGAAAAATTATATAAGGATGATGGCATTTTGAAACATAAAACAGTACCATATACTCCACAACAGAACGGTATAGTTGAGAGGATTAATAGGACAATCCTTGATAAGGTTAGATGTATGATGTTCAGTTCAGGTGTCCCTAAACTGTTGTGGGGAGAGGCTGTTATCATAGCAGTTTATGTCATAAATGGGACCCCAACTAGTGCATTAGATGATAGAACACCTGAGGAAGTGTGGACAGATAGGTTAGCTGACTATACACACTTAAAAACCTTTGGTTATGCTGCATATTCATACTAAAGTGTAGGAAAATTCGAGTCCAGATCCCAAAAATGTGTTTTCATGGGATATCCTCAAGGAGTGAAGGGGTACAGGCTTTGGGTGAGAGAAATTGGAGGTTTTAAGATGATAACCAGTAGGAATGTAACCTTCAATGAAAATGAGATGTCTTGCTTAGGTAAAGAGACCTCTAGAGATGTGCCTAAGGGTTAGGAAGATGAAAATATTAGAGTGCAGGTGGAACTTGAACCTTCACCTGATCATGTTGTTGAAAATCAAGAGGAAAATGAAATTGTGGAGGTTTTAGGGGAAGAAACTGTTCAAGAGCCTACTAGTGAATTAGTGAACCCCTTAGGTGATTATTAGTTAGCTAGAGATAGGGTTAGAAGAGAAATAAGAGAGCTTATTATGATGCATGACTATATGTCCCTTGCTATGTTGTCTTATCAGGAATTAACCTTTAAGGAGCCTAAAACCTATGAAGAGGCCATTAGTTGTCAGTTTTCTAAGGAATGGCAACTTGCTATGGAGGAAGAAATGAGATCTTTAGTGAAGAATAAGACTTGGAGCTTAGTGCCTAAACCTGAAAATAAATCTCTAGTTAACTGTAAGTGGGTTTATGCAGTAAAAAAAGGCAATCCTCCTAGTTAGCCCCTTAGATTTAAGGCCATATTAGTGGCTAAGGGGTTTACCCAAAAACCTGGTATAGATTACAATGAAATCTTTTCCCCCGTTGTAAAATATACTACTATTAGAGTCATGTTTGCATTAGTTGCACAATATGATTATGAATTAAAGCAAATGGATGTTAAGACTGCGTTCTTGCATGGTGACTTTGATGAAACCATATATATGAAACAGCCACAAGATTTCATTGATAATAGAAACTCTGATCATGTATGCCTGTTAAAAAGATCTCTTTATGGCCTAAAACAATCTCCTAGACAATGGTACAAACGTTTTGATAACTTTGTGTCTTCAGTTGGCTTTGTGAGAAGTTCTTTCGACCATTGTTTGTATTTTAAAAGGAATAACAGCAATTATGTCAGTGTTTATTTGCTTTTATATGTGGATGATATGTTATTAATTGGCCAGAAAATAAGTGATATAAATGAGATTAAAAAGATACTAAGTGCTGAATTTGAAATGAAGGATCTAGGGTATGCTAAAAGGATTTTAGGGGTGGATATAAAATGGAATAGGTCACAGCAGTTATTAATTTTGTCACAAACTAATTATGTGAAGTTGTTATCTCAGTTTGCTATGCATGATTCTAAATTTGTGACATTACCCTTTGTATGTCATTTTAAGTTGAGTAACACATGATGAATATGGCATTAAATATATGGAAAAAAGTGTCATATTCAAATGTTGTTGGATCTGTAATGTACACCACACGACCCGATGTTGCACATGCTATAAGTACCTTAAGTAGATTTATATCCAACCTTGGTCTTGAACATTGAAATGCAATTAAATGATTATTAAGGTACTTAAAAGGAACAACAGACTTAGGCTTATGTTTTAAACCTAATAAGGAGGGAGTTAGATTAAAGGGATATGTAGATTCTGATTATGCCGGTGATAAAGATAACAGGAAATCGACAACAGCATATATGTTTACTTTATGTGATACTCGTATTAGTTGGAAGTCTCAATTGAAATCAATTGTAGCCTTGTCTACTACCAAGGCTGAATATGTGGCTGCAATCGAGGCCATTAAAGAGGCCTTATGGCTGAAAGGTTTCCTAAATGAGGTAAATGAATCTGTTGATCATGTTGTTCTATATTCGGACAGTCAAAGTGCTATACATTTATGTAAAAATCCAGTTTTTCATGAAAGAACTAAACACATAGATGTAAGATTGCATTTCATAAAAGATATTGTAAAACAAGAATCTATTTTGCTTGAGAAAATCCCCACTCAGTTTAATCCAACTGATATGGGTACTAAAATACTTCCTTTAAATAAGTTTAAGCCATGTTTGTAACTTTTAAGAATTGATACTGGGTAAATTTCTTGGGTGCAAGTGTATATGGCTTGGTGTTGATGATTTGAGAGGAATTATATCAATTGCTTGAGAAGCCTATTGTTATATTTTTCTTTGTTTTTTGTGTTTTTTGATCATTGGCATCAAGGGGGAGATTTATTAGATTGTGATGCCAAATTATTTTTTGGTGGATCAGCCCATTCGGGCTATGATGATAAAAAACAAATGACCCAACAAATACTATAGGCTTTGCCCAATAACGCATTGAGTTGGACTCCTTTAAACCCGGCCCAAACTTCTGGTAAAACACGTGTGTCGCTCTGGTCTGTTAGATTTTCTAACCCTATGATTCTCTCGCCTCTTGGTGTGCTTTTGAGAAGCTTCTGGGTCTCTCTCTCTTTTTCAATTGACTGTGTGTCTCCTCTTTCATTACACGTGTGTCGCTCTGGTCTGTTAGATTTTCTAACCCTATGATCTTCGGTATACACACACACACACACACACATATATATATATATATATATGCTTGGTCTGAGACTTTTGCTCGAATTTTCTTTCTCTGATTCTCTCGCCTCTTGGTGTGCTTTTGAGAAGCTTCTGGGTCTCTCTCTCTTTTTCAATTGACTGTGTGTCTCCTCTTTCATCTTCTTCGTAAACCTTGTTCTTCTGCCATTAAAGTTCTGGTATTCTGGCTGCTTTGTGAGAAAGGAATCTTTGTGATCCTTCGATTTTGAACTGGAAAGGGTTTTTTTGGTCAGTTGGGAATTTTGAAACCATTGAAGTGACTGCCTTTGTATTCCTTAGTTTAGGGACGATTCTTGTGAGATTCAACATTTGTACAGACGGGTACAAAGTGTAATTTAAGCCCAATCAACGAGAACTTGATGTTTTAATGTGAAATCTTATTTTTGCTATTTTGAGTTGAACTTGGGTAATTTTTGTTACAAAAAAATAAAATAAAATCGTCTGCTTGTGCCTTTTCTCAAATGTTTGATTAGATAGAGTAGTTGTATCCTTATTTTATTGCCCTAGTTGTTTTGTGGTGACTATTGAATAACGAAATCGATTTCAACTGAAAGATCCAAACTAATACTTGAAAATGAAAGGAACATTTGCATGCGTTAGGAATATACACACACAGCTCATTCGCATACACTGGAAGATCATATGTTTTTTTGTTTGCGTTCAACTAGAATCTATTGTCCTCAAATGCTAACTCTGACCATAATTTCTAAGCTACCCATCTTCCAAACTAAGCCCAAGTAATCCCACCTAGGATTATTAAAAACAGACATAGACGCAGTTCAGTCAACTATATAATACATAAACTACTAGCCTCCTCTCGAAATTGCTGTTTTAAATAAATATCATTGCAACTTTTTATCATGTTTCTTTCCCCATTTCCTCATCTGAATTTGAACTGTGGACATGGCGGTCAAGAAATCCATACATTGCATGGGAGTTAATGTCTCCACCACGCCCTTCAGTGTCTCGAGCCTCACACAATCAGCCATTTTCATCACTTTCTCCAATCCACCCATCAAACCCTTCAACGCCACCTCCACCAACCCATTTACCTGAGCCACCGCCGAGTCATCATCCTTCATAACTCGCCTTTCTAAAGCAGCCAACTCCACCATTTTCCGGTCTGCTATGCCCACCTGTTGCCTTTCAAACTCTCTCTCAACTTTCTCCTCATCCATCTTAATCTTCACTCTGAAAGCCTCAATCTTTTTCACTTGTTCCTCAGTCATGGTAACCAGACTTGTACCAGGAGACTGAATCTTTCTCTGTGACTCGATGAGCCGAAAAGCCATTGACGGTTTCCATCCCGTGACCCAAAGATTGGCGTTCTCAACCGGGCTTAACCAAACAGGCGCGAAGAAAGCCAAAACGTCGTCATGTGCCGCAGCCCATTTATAAGTATAGTACTCCCTGTGATGGGCTGTCAGCTTACCAACCAAAACCTCATAGTCCACTCCTTGAGAATTCTCCGCTGAAACCCTCAGATAGTATTGAAGAAATTCTTCTAGTAGACACATCCATTTTTCGAAGAAAGATGAGAATTTTTCCTCAACGTGGGTTTTCATTTTTCTCTTACAACTCTATGCCAAAAAAGAGATGTAAGCACGTTGGTGTTGAGTATGAGAAGAGGGATATATAATATACATATACACATATACACGGATACTGTGTGCTGATAGAAATCTTTTATTTAGATGTGTTGCGCTGTTACAGTGCCCAAATGGAGCATTAAAGCCTAGGCCACGCTGCAAGTGGTGGCTTAATTGGGAAATGCGTGGCTTCTGCATGGCTTACGCGCAGCAATTAACCAACCGCTCATACCAAGAGTTAGACGACTCTTTGCAAATCTCTCTCTAACTTTTTTTTTTCTACCCCCTTCTTCTGTCTACTTTTCACTGCGATGAAGAGGCATGCATAGTACCACCTGTGGTGCAATTTACGCGAGGACGTGTCACGAGAAGAGGGAATATGAGATCCCACGTGGAGAACTCTCGCGTTTCGTCATAGTTTATATGAATTCTTCAGGTGTCTGTTTGAGAAATTTGATGATGTAGTATTTTCTAAACTGCGTAATATTACTACTTTTGCAGTCAAGATTTATATACAGTATAAGTACGTTTACCCTGCATTGAATGATGTCAACCCGATGTAGGTCTTAGGGAACCTTAAAAAATCTCCTTATACCTTTTAAAACCATGTACCAAGTTTGCGGCTTGATTCCTTCAGTTCAAGAACAGAGATGATCTTCAGAATTCCCTGGACATGGAATCAATTTGTAGTACAACTTGTATTGTGTACAAGAAATTAAACACTTACGGTACTTATGCAGCACTTAAATACAATAAATTCTCAAAAAGAGAAAGAACAAACATGTGATCAGTCCAATAAATTAATTTTCCTTGTACCCAGTTAGGGTTGACATGTCCACAACTGCAATTAAGAGTTCAACGATTGATATCTCCTTCCTTCTACTCCCATAAAAAATATTGGTAGTCTTTAGAGAACTTCAATACATGTCGTTCACAAGTCCGTGAGGGTACAAATTTAGAAGATGATTTAAAAAATAAGGGAATTTTTTAAATTTTTGTATAATATTATGTTATTGAAGACGTGTGATTGAAAAGAAGTTAATGGTCCGTTTGATTGTAAAGATGGAATTGAATTGCATGGAACGAATTCCCTAGTTTGGATGAACTAGGGAATTAAACACTCGTACATTTGGAGTGTATTGAATGGATCGCTTAAAGATCCATGTCATAATATAGAAGGGCAAGTTCAAATTTTCTACGAGCTTGATGAACTAGTTTGGATGCAAAAATTTAGCCCATGTTTAGTAGAAATTAAAATTCAAGTTTTAATTTAAGTCAAAGTAAACAATTTATTTTAACTATACTCTTTATAAAACCCACAACTTTTTAATACCACATTTCATCAACTTTTTTTAAAATCTACTAAAATTTTGAATTTAATCCCTACCAAACAGAGGCTTAATCTGGTTTGCCTATTTTGAAACCCTTCATATAACGATTTTTCCTTTTTATGTAATGTAATGATATCAAGTTGTGTGTTTCATTTACTCCCTTGTAATTCCTCCATTTTGTAATCAATACTTTAATCATAATTTTTTCTTGAATATTGAATAAACAAATTCATCTCTAATCTCTCTTGTATACAGTTAAAAAAAAAAATTGTCATAAAATAGATCTATCTCTTGAATTTATTTCAGCTTGATTTTCACATAATTGCACGTTTAATTTAAATTGGAATAAACGGGGTGGTGGTTCCATTTGGGTCACCTACTTTTGATTACTAATAAGTTGTAATGGAACTTGTAAAGAGCTGTCAATTGAATCAAATAACAGGCATAAGTTGTAGGCAAAAACTAACTACACAGCTTTAATTTTTTTTTTTTTCAAATAAAGCCATTAAATTTTTTTTTACAATTACACTTTACAAGTTTTCATACTTTGAAAATGCCATATGATAACATTGTTTTAAGCTTTATCAAAAACATTTTTTTTTCTGTTAAAAAAATATATAACATCGTCTTTTTTAATACAAACAACCAAATTATTATGAATCATGCTTGTTGTATAATGATTTTTACAACAAGTTTGACAACATGCTACATGACAGGTTATCATTGGACAATTTGAAAAATACTTTATTTTTCCTATCAATACTTTTTTGACACATACACCATTGTCAAGCATGTTGTACAAATCCACTGTACAAATGGCTTATTCCAATTATTATTCATTTATTGACCAATAATTAAACATATAAACATTAAAACATGCCTAACGACAGTCCACTCAAATTAAGCAAGTAATTCAAAAAAAATAATTTGAAGGGATTTATTTATTATTATTATTATTATTATTATTATTATTATTATTATTATTATTTTGCCCCTGGGAACTCCGGATCTATGGCAGAAAGGGGTATTATTATAAGTGAGGAAGGATGTTTAGTATGACACTTCCTTTCCTGATTTATTTATTTAATTTCTATGGTCATGGAAATAGCATTTAGTGGGCTTCGCGTGTGCGGCAGGTTGGGGTTAGTGTTTTGCTTGAAGTGGATTTTCCAATTGGATGTGCAATGTGTCGACTAACAAAGGCGGTCCACAGGGTACACAGGGTTGACTTGAGATTTTGAGTGTCATGGGCGAAATTTAGCATAGGTATTAAATTCGATCCGAGCATCAATTCGGTTGAAATACTGGGTCATCAAGTTATTAGTTGAACTGATGGGTTAGTAGTCGGATCGGTGGGTCATTATTTAAAAATATTTTTAACAATTTTGTATATAAATTTTTTTCTTTTAATTAAAATTAAAATTTTAAAATAGTTTGTTATTAATTATATTTATATCTTTATTGATTTTTGAACTCATGTTAGTAATAATAATTACGTTTTGATATTAGAATTTAGTATATTATATTTACAAAAATTATATTATTTAATCTTTTTCAATCAAAATATTTTTAGAATTACGTATTTATGAATTATATATACGTTATTATGCTAAGAGAAAACAAAAAGTCGTTGATTCAATTGGTTTGGCACTTGCTCTTCTTAGTTGAAGGTTCAATTATTTGCAACCAACAAATTTAGGACCATTTGGTAGTGATTTTAAAAATTGATTTTTTGACCATTAGAAAAAAAAAGTGGGGGCCACATATGAGTGAAGAAGTCAAAAATAACGATTGAAATAGTGAAATAACGGTAAAAAATCAATTTTTTGATGTGAAAAATTACTACCAAACGAGCCTTTAATTTCAACATTTTGAAGTCCAATAAAAAACCAGTCAACTGGTCCAGTTTTTAATAAAAAAATGTTGATTGGGCCGAGTGTTGATCGGTTCAATTGTATTTGGATAATATAATTCAACTCAGCCCAATATATATGGGCTGAGTCACTGATTTCAAGGCCCGACTGTCAGGGCCAAGCTGGTTTTTATAACAATGAAATTTAGTTCTAATTTTTTATTTAATTAAAATGATATATAAATAAAGTATTAAATAATAAAGTAGTTGTATAAATTCTAACCAATTAGTAAATAACAAGTGTAAAAGTTTAAAGAGAAACATCTAGAAAATTTATTTTTAGAACCATTTTTTTTCTGTACTACCTATTTTGGGACCATTTACTCGAAAGGACAAACAAATTGTCAGACATTCATTGGAGAAATTCACAATTGAGTATTATCAATTACATAATACACATCTTCATTTGTATCATCTTAATTCTGTACTTCATCATCAATGAATCTTTTTTTTTTTTTAATATATATAATTTTCATTAAGTTCTAATTCTTTCTCGTGATTTGATCGAGGATCGTTAGTTAAATCTGTTAGGAAAGGCTTCTTTGCATATATATTTCTGCAGATTGAGTACACGATATATAGATACAGAGAGGAAGTTTAGGAAGCTATTATAGGCTATACATTGTCTAAGGCTAGAATTATGGGTATCCCTTAAAGTGTGGGATTTTACAATTAAAGGGTTCCTATATTATCTCTATCCTATTCTCTGTTAATAGCTCAAATCAACACTCCCCTCAAGTTGGTACATAAAGATCTTTAATGCTTAACTTGTCGAGTGAGTTGTAGAAGTTATTGCTAGACTCGATCTTCGTGAGTATGTCCACCAACTGGTCTTCTGCCTTGACAAAGGGAACCAAACAACTTTTTCGTCAAGATTCTGTTCGATGATGTGCTCATCAACATCAACATGGTTAGTACAATCATGTTGGACGGAATTATGGGAAATGACTGTGGCTGCCTTGTTATCCTGAAATAAGTACATTTCAGAGCTAAATGCAAAGCCAATCTCAATTAACAACATTTTGAGCCAAAATAGTTCACAAAAACCTTTCACCGTTCCCTGAAATTCTCCTTTAGCACTTGATAATACTACTACCTTTTGCTTTTGCTTCTCCATGTAACAAGGTTGCCCCCGACAAAGGTAAAGTAGCCAAAAGTAGACTTTCTATTCGATATATTTCCTGCTCAGTCAACATCTTATTCTTGGAGAACATAAGCCATTTTCTAGGATAGGACTTCAAATAGGGATGAATATGAATTACTACATATATATGCTCTTTACTAGGGCAGTACATAAATTGGAGCACTATACTTGCAGCTTAAGCAATATTCGGGAGCATAAGAGAACAGTAAATGAGCTTGCCAACTAGTCTTTAGTACCTCTCTTTATTGACTGGTGCCTGATCCCTATATTTTCCAAGTTTATGATTCTGAACAATTGGAGTACCGACCGATTTACACTTGAATAATCCCACTTCGAACATCAAGTCTAATATATATTTTCTTTGAGAAAGAAATATGCCGTGTCTTAATCTCCCAGGTTCTTCATCTCAAATTTGGTTAATTTGGTCTTGAAGTCTAGAGATCTCTTCAGCATCATCCACTGTAATAGTTATATCATCTACATAGACTATTAGAGTTATTTCTTTTCTTAATAAATGTTTTAAGAATAGAGTGTGGTCCGAATTGCTCCGTTGGAAGTCATATTTTCTCATAGTCGAGCTAAATCGACCAAACCATGCCTGAGGTGATTGTTTC